TTTTTTTAAAATTAAAATAAAAAATTTTAAATTTAAGTTTTATAACAAATATGTGATGTCAATTTAAGTGGTGAAAAAAGATTATTTTTTTATCATACAATTCAGGTTTTTTCTTTTAAATGTAAAAGTAAAATACAATAATTTTAGAGTTGCATTAATATTTTGGGGTGTGAACCCCTTACCTATAAAAAGTGTAAAAACTAAAATAACCTAAATTTTATTAGGGAGGGAAAGTTTTTTTTTTTTTTTTCTATTGAACACCAAATTAGAGCAAAAACCATGCAAAAATTTAAAATAGAGCACAACATATTTTGAGAGTGTTAGACAAAATTTAAAAAATACTTTGTTTTAAAAATACTATTCATCTTTTATAAATTTAAAATGTTATTACATAAAAATGTAAAAGTTATATTTTAAAGTAAATTTTAAGTCAGTTTTGAAAAAAAATTAAATGTATAACTTTTTCAAAACTTACTTAAAAATCTAATTTTATTATTTTCCTCAAATAAAATTTTAAATTTGTGAAAGATAAATAATACTTTTAAAGTAAGTTTGTTAAAATTTTACCATTTATCCCTCTTGTTTAGAAATACTTTTAACCTTTTAAATAAAAAATTATAAATTTGAAGTTGTAACCTCATAATTAATGAAGTAGAATTCTACACGTAATTATCCAAATTCTATAATTTTTATCTATTTTAAAATAGATAATAATTTCAATGTTGTTTTATACATAACTTTTTATTTGTATATATATTATTATAATTCAATAGTGAGATTTTGTAAAAATAAGAACACAATTTTTCAAAACTTGTTTTCATTAAGGATGTGTCTTTTTTTTTATTAATTAAAGTTATCATTTTTCAAAAAATTTTAATAAAAAATATAATCTTTACAATTTTATTAATTAAGGATTAAGTGTACACTTTCCATTATATTTTTTATTAAAAACTTTTAAAAAGTAATAGCTAAATTTAAAAAAGTACAAAAATTATGTTTTTGATTAAAAACTTTTAAAATGTGGTAGGTTTGATTAATAAAAAAAACCATTATATCTTTAATTTAAAAAAATTTACAAGTTTGTGTCTTCATTTACATAAAATCCCATTCTTTTTTTTTTTAACAAATATAAAATCTCACTCAATAGCCGTTTCCATTGGGAAAAAAAATCATAAGTACATTCTCCTTTTTTTTCTTTTTTTTCTTTTTTTGAGCGAGTTATATTTTTAAGGGAGGAAGAATTCAAACTCCAATTTTAGACTAGAGGTGCATTTTATTACTAGATATATAATTATTGGTCACAAAATCAAGGGGCACAGTATGTTCTCTTTTTTAATATCAAATCAATGGTGCATTCAAGCAGTGGTTAGTACGGAAAAACCTTGTGGCCTAGGGTCTTAAAAATAGAAGCCCATACCAAAACTTGAATCATTTTAGGCCTTCAAGCCCAAAGGTTTACACTTACTATTTTGGTTCGGAGGTGGAGGCATGGAAGCCCAAACTTTGATGATCTTAGTGGGCTTCCTTCTTTTCATATCGAAAGAAGAGAAATGAAATTTTCCTTTCTGGATCTTTATGTAATGGTCCTCTCATTCTGATGTGAAAAATGAATTCGGAAATTTAATTAAATTTAGAAGTTAAAAGACTTTAAAAAAAAGGTATAATTAAAAAATTTTTGATGAAATGAACAGAATCTTCAGCATCCTATGCACAGTGCAGTAATGGGATCAGTTCAGAGCACACTATGATAGAAGCAGAAGCACCAGAGTCCGGATGTGGCCCTATCATTTTTGCTGGCATCGGTGCCTCAAATTTACAATCCCTGGATCATCCTCTCCTGAAATGACAACATTTATAAAAAAGCTGCAATCACCATGCATATTATGTTGGTGGAGAAAAAGAAAAAACTAAAATAAAATTTGGTAGTTGAAGGATAATTGAGTAAAGGGTTGAATCATTAATGTTTGAAAAGAAACATTTGATCTCCAGAAGCTGAATCTCGCCTATTCAGGTCTCAACTCAACTCAACTCAACCAGGGATCAAGTGCTCAATGCACTATGTCACTGTCCTTGGACCTAGAAAGTTCAGATTCAGGAATCAGCTAGAATTCTTTAATTTTTAGATAAGATGCTAGCCCATCCATTTATGGATCATATATTTTTCACAACCTAATCTCATATCAAATCTTGTATCCTTTATGGGACAGTGAGAATTCAACTAGCTACAGTGTAAATCTGGTGCTTCTGAAAATGAGCAGAAATAGGAATTTAATTCTGAGGCCAAAATTTTTGCAACAATTATTTTCAAACCATATATTAAGATTACATGGAAGAAGAGAACTAAGAAAAAGACCACCATCTAATTAGGAGAAGATAATAAACAATTCAGAACCAAATTTAAAGTGGTGCATTTCTTTCCTTT